GTATTCCATTAACCTCCCCAAATTATTTTTATTTATTACAAAAGTGGCAAGAAAGAAGAAATGAAAATTTCACATAGGTACCCAAAAGTACCAACAATTCACAACAACCATCAAGAAATCTAACCCCCAAAAGACATCACAAATATCAATCAAGTGACCAACAAATACACAAACACATTATATCAATTATACAATTAGACATCTAAGCTCACTTATGCACACATGCACACTCACTGATGCACACACGCACACACACAATTATGCATCTACAAATTATGCATTAATAATATGTTAATATCATATTCTTACCTATGCATTTCATATACTTAAACATATGTATATACAAATATATCAAAATGACATACAGGCACATATATATATATATATATATATATATATATATATATATATATATATATATATATATATATATATATATATATATATATATATATACATATAAATAAGGGTTTATTAGGGAGAACCCCCTTGTTCATATTTTCTAATGAGGTAGATCCAAATTTTTTTCCCCTTTTTGAGATAGACCCAATTTTGCCAACTTGGCAAAATATATTATATAATTTTCCTTTAATACCCATGTTTTATTATTAAACGGCATTTATTTCCTTTAATACGTGATTTGAGATTTGCTGATACGTTGCCTAAAATCACGGAATAAAATTACGTGAGATCATTGGCCGTTATATCAAATCGTGTACAATATTTTTCGAAGGTTCTCTTCAGCGTTCCAGCGGTTTTTTATCGTCTTTCAAGATTTCTACATCGTCGTGGAAATAGGATCAAATTTGAGCGTTCGTTGTTGGACGTTGTTTTACCGGGTATGAATGCCTTTCGTTTTTAATTTACGCTCAATGTCTAGGATTGTCGATTACGGTGGTTAGAAATTTTTAAGAGTTGTGTTGATACTTGATTCTATTAAGTATAACGTTTTTTAACAAAATTATTCCGTCATATATACATCGTTATTTTTGTCGGATGATGTATGTTTGGGAGAGGATTGACAGAGTTAGATGAGGATGGTTCACGTATATCGGACCAGAGTTGTTTTATTTGAACGTCGTAGTTGGTTTACGCATCAATTGAAATAACAGTCCGCTGTCGTGGAGTTCATGAGTCTGATCCCGGTCGATAGTTGGTTTATTTGTTTATAACAGCGGATTTTAGGACGCTGGGTAGTACATTAAAATATAGTTCGTAGTCTTTTTTAATTTAGCGTATGGATTTTGCATTTTAAGTTTATTTTTGATGATATTATAATGTATTATCATTCAAATGTATTTGCAGTCTATTTAATCATTTTTTAGTATTCTGCATTTTTAATTTTGTTTCATGATTTTAGGTTTTTTCGATGGCGAATTTCGTACGGATTTTGTTGAGGTTTGGTGGGTTGGTTGCTATAAAGAGGTGTTTACGATGTAATGGCTCGGTAACTTCGGTTAAGTGTTAAACCGTTGTAATACAGTAGTATACTATTATGAATACCGTATGATACTACTATTATCATTTTATTATACTATTATGAGATTATTAATGTACTAGAGGTTTTTAACTCGACATATTGGTTTGATTGTGTTATGATGTGTTTTATGTATTTTATCAAAACCCTAGATTGAAATTATGAGATTATTAATGTACTATTTTATTGGTTATGTTGGAATACTTTACGTTGGTGTTGTTCTCAATGTTCTTGTCATTTCAGTGGTATATTGTTTGTAACACAATTTCATGTCACTACTATAATCGTAATATACTATCATAGCAGATTAATGTACTATATTGAAATTATTAATATACTATGTGGTTGAATAATACGGGATCCATAGTCGATTAACGAGATCCATAGTCGAATTAGATCAATAAGATAGTCTATTACATGATATAAGGAAAATTACCCTAATTGATTAGTATTTCAAACAAACATATTATTCAGTTTCCATATATATTATTATTTTTTCATATATATTATTATTTACCCTAATTGTTTTCATATAATAAGGAAAATTACCCTAATTGATTAGTATTTCAAACAAACATATTATTCAGTTTACATATATATTATTATTTTTCCAATAGTCAATTAACTAAACACATAGTTGAATTAGATACATGGGATAGTCTATTAAAAGATATGAGATAGTCTATTAATTTTAAAACACAAATCCGCCGCCGTCACTTATCAAATCTAGGGTTATGATGATTCTTCGGCCCATAGTCGATTAACGAGATCCATAGTAAAATTATACCAGTGGGATAGTCTATTAAATGATATGAGATAGTATATTAATACAGATGTAATTCGACTATGCACCTCGTTAATCAACTATGGGCCGGAGAATTATCAAAACCCTAGATTTGAGTAATCCTAGATTTGAGTAACCCTAGATTGGAGCAGTGACGGCGACGGCGACGGCGGCCAACGACGATATCACTTCTGGTGGATGTCCTGCCCATCAATTGTTGCAATATCACTGATTTAGTGCTCGAATTCGGTATGCGATTATAACAGTTCTGCAATTACACAAACGTGATAGTCGATTTAGCCAAAACATATCAACAAATTGATGGACGATAGCGATGCAACGAGCGGCGAAGACGTACCTATGGCGGCTTGCTCGGAGTGCACGTAGTCGTCGTTTCACGGCAGTGCAGATATCTTCCGCGTTCAATCGGCCGTTCCGGGAAGTGGTTGTGGGAGGTTTTGCAGTTTATTTGATAGTGGGTTTAATGGGAAAATAGGAAGGGATTTGATATTATTTCAAAAGGTAAAGTAACGGGATTTGTGGGATTTGATTGAGGGTAATTATGTAATTAAGAAAAGTTTGGGCTTTTATCAAAATGACAAATTTAAATTTGGGTCTATCCCTATTTTTTGAATGTTTAAGGGGGTTATATCTAATAGACCCTATAAATAATTATACACACCCAAAAATTGAATACGTATATATATATATCTACATGTATTTTAGTATACTTTTTATAAGCATGCTTGAATAGTGACTTTACCAGATATAATAAAATAATATTTAATAAAGGATATATATATATAGGTATATTTAAAGTAATTTACCAAGGTGTCATTACAAGAAGCATTACCAAAACACTTAAAGAAACTTCTAATCTAATTTAATTTCCATAAAGATGTTTTATTCGAAAGGAAATCCGATTATTCATCCTAGAATCAAAAACACATTAATTAGGCAGATTTCAGATAATTTAAATAAAATCTCAGTTTTTTTTTTTTTTTTTTTTTTTTTTTTTGTTTTTTTTTAATTCGAAGAACAACAAGTTTCTGAAAATTACAATTTCTACCCCAAAATTTCCATTTCATTCCAAACCTTCATTTATTCAAATTAATCTATTAAATCCAAAACTTCAGAAATTAAAAATTCTTATTTTTAACTAAATTTAACCGATCTTTTAGAAATTTACAGATTAGTCCTCTAGCTTACTAGATCTTCACATGCATGCCCCTAATTTTACCAAAATCTGATTCTCTTCAAAAACTCATTAATAACTCAAAATTTCTTTGTCACTCCCTTTTTCTAAAAGGCTTGAATCTACGGATTATGCAGTCTGATCATACATGCAATGATTTAAAATGCAAGAACTAACAAAATTAAACACAAAAATGCAAGAATAACATGAAACGAAGAAGAGGAGTGTCTTTTAGATTATTTTCCGAAATTCCTTTCTTGATACTTGATACCTCCATTTGCAGCAAGGATTTCGATTCCTTACCTGGTGTTAGAAAGAAAGCTAGCCAGAAGAAAAATGCTCTTGAACCTTCAAGAGAATCAAAAGGTCAGAAAAGGGGAAAAGAAGGAAGAAATTAGAAAATATTTGGAGAGGTTCTTTACCTCTTCAATCTACGATTTCTAACCAAGCTATTTTGAGGGAGAGGGCTATGTAGCGTATTAGGAGGTGAGATGTGATTTCTCCCGTGAAAGGGCACCTCGTATAAATAGAGTTCTTGGAGAACTCTAGAAGGAGGATAGGATAGGGAATTCTCATGTTAGGATTTTTTTGGAGCTTGGGGTGGCTGATGGTGGCTCACGGTGGTGGTGCTGCCGAGGGATGGAGAGAGACCAGGTGAGGAAGAGAGAGAAAAAAAACAATCGGAAGAGAGAGAGAGAGAGGAAAACCAGTCGAGAGAAAAAAAACAATCGGAAGAGAGAGAGAGAGAGGAAAACCAGTCGAGAGAGAGAGAGAGAGAGAGAGAGAGAGAGAGAGAGAGAGAGAGAGAGAGAGAGAGAGAGATTGGTCCTTTTTAAAATAGGAAGAGAGGCTTTTGGTTTACCACTCTTGGTTAGGGGTTGAGTGTGGTTTAGGTGCTGATTATTGAGGTCTAGACTCTAGGTTAGTATATAGGTTTATATAAACTATACTCAATATATATGCAATTATACACACACACACGGCTGCACACATATACACACACGCATGCACACACACACCTTCACACACATGCAGGCACACACACACATTTATATGTGTGTATATATATGTGTATTCAAGTAAATACTTATACATATATGTATGTATAATCTAATTAATAAGTGTATAGTGCACACATCAATCCATATTTAGCAAATAATTTATGATTTCATTTATCATATATATTCGATAATTCACGTAGTCAAGTAATATTTTGGAAGAGTTAAACTTAATTAAAACGCAACAACTTTACATAAGAAAATTAGGAAAATTTAAAGACGAGGGGTGTTACACATTATCCATATCCATAATTATTCTTCTACCTGTGAAGAAAAAAATATATATATTTATATTAACACAAAAGAAAGTATATGAATATATATAGTATGTTGAAGATAGAAGACAATATATTTTAAAGTTTGGTTGCTTACCAAGCTCTAAAATATAATCATTTTGTTTGATGACCATGCTACTGTAGTTCCAAATGCATCTTCCATGAATTCCATTTCAGATGTAGGCCTCTAGAGAGATGCGATAGGAACTTTCACAGTATCAATCCAAATTCGCATAGCATTAGGACCTAAAGGAACAAAATGAACTAACTCGTTTGGATCACTTGAACTAACTCGTCCTTCTGCAACTACTTCGCCAGATCCACGAATATCCAACAACTTGCACTTTTTCCTTACATTATTAGTATTCACACTCTTTCAAATGTAACATTATTGAAAAGCTTATCATAAATTTCAAACGGATTATAAATTTATAATACATAAAAAAAAAACTCTTTACCGTAGGAGATGATCGATTTTCTTCTCGAGTTTCTGTCGACTTTTCAAGAATTACATTACTAGCTGGCCAAGCTATAGCTGAATTAACTGCATCTTTAACGCGTACCAAATCCACTGTAGGACGCCAGAGAAATGCTTCAGGAATTATTGCAACATCTACACAAACTATCATGGCATTGAGTCCGAGAGAAATATTATTGACCAAAGCATTTGGGTCACTCGATTGCAAGAAACCTTCACCAACTATTTCATTTTTTCCACTCCAATCGAATAATATACATCTAGTTCTTGAAGTATTCTACGAAAGAGAAATGCATATCACACAAGGTACATACTAGTTAAACACAACTCATTACATGAAATTTCACCACAAATTAAAGAAAAAAGATCAGAGAAAATACAAAAGTTTGACTCTGCTCAAATTCAATTAATTAAAAGAGATCAATGCCATAATAAATAAATGAGGAGTAGAGAAAATAATTTAAGCACATGAGCCATCTTTTTACAAAATTTCAAACATTTTGATAATGAGTGTTTATTCAACAAACTACAAATAAGAAAAATCCGTAATAAAGAAAAAAAAATATCTTACCGAATGTGAGGACATGTTTTCTTGCCTCTCAGAATGTTGCTCTGTTTGTATAATAACGCGGTCAACAGGCCAGGCAATCGGTTCACCTTGAGCTTGTTTCATACAAGTCATAGTAGTTGTAGGTCTCCATAGAAAAACATCAGGTTTATTTGAATTATCAACGCAAACTTTCAATGCATTTGGTCCCAAAGGAATTTTATCAACTAGATCTTCTGGATCATCTGATATCAAATGTCCTTCAGCAACAATATCTTCTGTTTCAAGCCAATCTAATAACTTACACTTATTCACCGACATGGTATTGACAGCCTAGATATAAAAAAAAAAAAATAGTAGGATCAAAAAAATAAATAGAAAAATATGACAGTGAAATAACAACTCATCCATCAAACATATTTCTTAAAGCTAAAGTACGATAATCACAATAGCTAATATTATTCAACTATAGTTCTAACTCAAGAAAAAAATGTAGAACATGAATGAAACTTATGCTAACACAATGGTGATTGACCTCACAAAGCCACAAACTTCATAAATATAATATATGAAAATCATATAAACAATAATCAAAACTGAATGTAAATACTTGCCTTTGGAGGTATTTTGTCCACCTTTGCATTTTGTTGAATCTAATAAAATAGTTTTAGATGGTGTTAATAAAAAAAAATCATTACATAATTTATTTAGTACCTCGTGAAGTCTAGATCCCCATCCATGAAAGAACACCCAAAATCACAAATAAGAGAAATTAATTTTGGGAATTAGGGCTTCTCTAAAAAAATAAAAGGTTAATAAACAAATCTAAAAATTGAGAGCGTCCATACCGGGTATAGCTTAAAAAGAATGGAGTGGGCAAGAAAACACCAACAATTTGGACCAGAGACACGGTTGTCTATATGACGAATATTTTGGGGCGATAATTTGGGGCACCGACTCAGATTTATCTCCTTGCGTGAGCGATGCCAGGTGATCGGAAAAAAATTCAGCGTGGAGAGGATTCGAAATTGATAGACGGTGTTCTTGAAACTGCTGCGTGTTTAAGGGAAGATGGAGAGACGGCAGAGTTCTAATGTGCTAAGAATTCTAATACGCGGCATAGTTGTTCTTTTTTGCCAATTTTTTTGACAAATAGGGCTTTTGAGATCCTACACCGGGTGAAATACACCGGGTAGATCTTTACCATTAATATACACACAAACACACACACACCCACATTGGTGTGTGTAGATCAACGGTGAAAAATCACCCGGTGTAACCTTCACCGGGTGTAGGATAGATAAAACCGACAAATAGCGGCAAAAATCAACTATAGCGTTTTTATTTTTTAATTAATATTAATTAAAAATACTAAATATTTATTAGCTATAAACAAATGCTATTAAAGAATACATTTGTTGTAGTGCACGGTTCGTATTCGTCTAGACAGGGTTTGTACAAATGATGGATGGATGTCTCACTTTTCGATAGCTCAAGTGCATCATCTTCAACTGGCGAGGTCGGATCATATTCTGTTAATGTTATATCTAGAGCCGGCGGAGGAAAATGACGTGGTCACAGGTGGATGCCCATTCCGTTTCGAAGCTATGTGGGTTCGAAAAGATAAATGTGTGCAGAGTTGGTTAAAGATGAGTGGTCGAAAGATAGGGATTCTCGACTTAAAACAGAGGGCTGCAGATTGGCGTTTATGCGATGGAAGCAAGATGTTCTCAACCACCATCGTAAACGAATAACGAAAATCCACAAGGAACTACATCGGTTGAAGTCTGAGGTCCAAACTGAGGAAAATAGAGATGCAATCCGACAATTGCACAAAGACTTAGAACATTTATACGATGATGAGGATATTTACTAGAGACAAAGAAGTAAGGTCCAATGGATCAGGTAAGGCGATAGGAACACGAAACACTTCCACACCAAAGCTTCTCACAGGAAGAGGGTGAATACAGTTAATAAGATTCACGATAAAAGGGGGGTTTGGCAAGGAGAACAAGAAGGACATTGAACAAGTTATCTCTGGCTACATCGAGGAAATCTTCCATTCTACTTACCCAGAGCAGAGTGTGATGGATGAGGTGATTAATCATATTGTTCCTGGAGTTTCCGGTGAGGCCTCTCAGACGCTTTCTCAAATGTTCCCGATCAAGTCCCCTGCCCTGTCGGCCTCCCTGTTCTTTTTTATATTAAGTACTGGCATATCTTAGGCTCCTCCGTTATCAATTGCGTTCTTTATTTTCGGAATAATTATAAGATGCCTACTCCTATGAATTTCACTTTTATTGTCATTATTCCCGAAGTCAAGAAACCAAAGAAAATCACTGAACCGCCCTATGAGCCTCTGCAATGTTATCTACAAATTCGGGTCTAAAGTTATCACGAACCGTCTTAAACCTATCTGATGATGCTAAAAATAGATCATCTCAAGTAGTTGAGCTGGGAGAGCAAAGTGGATCACTGCTCACGTACTAGATGGCCCTGAGATACCTGCGAAGAGAGAACACGTGAACTAGGCCGGGGGTTGATCCGGCGGAAACCCCTCCGACGCTCAAGTTAGACGTGGGGATAGTAGAAAAAATTGAGAGAATATGACTCCTAGTATACTTTAGATAATTGGGCCTCCCTTTAGCAAAATGAATTATATCGTTACTTATACCTTAGATGAGATCGTTGGACCCAAACCTTATCTGAAGGTGATTGGGCCTCGGTGATATTGGTCTTCAATATTGGGCTCGTGGCCCAGTAGGTAAATAAATTGTAAGTCCATTGGGTTGGCTCAATTAGGCATATCATTAAGCCCCCCACTCTCGAGTCGATGTGGGGGCCATGTCGTAATGGGTGACAGATCGTGTCGAGAGTAAAAATTGTAGTAGTCGCTCGTTGGCGTATGGCATGATGGTGTGCGAAAACGCGTTGGAGCGTGTGTCGGAGGGGAGTAAAGGCGCGTTGGCGCGTAGCGCGACCAAAATGTCGCCATGTAAGTTACTTGAGTCGTCGGTGTTGTTATCTCCTCGTGGGAGTTGTTTATTTATTGACGTTGTCAATGGTTTGACGCGTTGCTTGTATGTGTTTACATATAGCCTTGTGCGTGATGTACTTGATGAGTGGATCAGGCTCTCAAGATTTTTTTTATGGGGATCGTGCCCCTTGTTAGACCTCGTGGGTCGTAAGTATGTTTGGACCGTGGCCACGTTTTAATAAACGTTCCGTCGAAAACAAGTAGAGAAATTTGAGTAATCAAGCTGGCCAGGCTATATAGATTCTCATAATATCTCTAAGTGTTTCTAAGTGTTTCTCATAATTTATATAGATCCCAACGACATTATTTCTCAAACTCATTCAACTTTTGTCCCGACACGCCTCATTATTGATAATGTTCTTGTTGGATACGAGATTAATCACATTATTTAATCTAATTATAAGAGGCATACCAATTACATGGCACTTAAATTGGACATTAGTAAAGCTTATGATCAAATTGAATGGGGTTTCGTTAAGAAAGTTCTTGGTAGACTGGGCTTTACCGACAGTTTTATTCATTTAATTATGCTTTGCCTATCTTCTGTTACTTATTATTTCCTTTTCAATGGATGCCAGCTTGGGTTCACGCGTCCGGCTCGGGGACTTCGACAAGGGGACCCACTATCTCCATACCTTTATATATGTTGCACGGAGGCACTGATTTCTATGATCAAGCATGCCGATGCGGTCGAGCGAGGTGAGATGAGAGGTGTTCGGATAGCCCCTACCGCGCTAGTGGTTTCGACCCTATGCTTCGCCGACGACACACTCATCTTCAGCCAGGCGACTAGCGAGGATGCACAGACGTTTCGCCGGATTCTAGTCTCATATGCCTCAGCCTCGGGACAGATTATTAACCTTGAGAAGTCTACAATGGCGTTTTGCCCGACCACTCCTCTGGAAAGAAAGGACGAAATACATTCCATTCTTGGCTTTCACATTGTTGAAAAGCACGATAAATACTTGGGGATGCCATTTTCCATGGGCAAGTCGAGACGGGAGATCTTTGGTTTCTTACGGGACAAAATTTGGTCTAGAATTAAGGAAATATGAGGAATGGGCTTTCGAGATTTACACAAGTGCAATATGGCCTTAATAGCAAAGCAGACGTGGAGGGCATTGACTAATCCGGATCTTTTGTTGGCGCAACTTCTCAAAGCACGATACTTTCCTAATGGCAGTATTTTGTCGGCAGCGGAAGGCACCAGGCCCTCCGTGACTTGGTGTTGTCTTCTTATGGCGAGACCGGCACTTCGATGTGGAACCAGGGTTAGAATAGGAAATGGAGCGGACACCTCAATACGGGGAGACCCATGGTTGTTGGGAGATAGAAACTTTTGAATCTACACCAAACGCCCTTTACATACGTGTTACCCGGACAAGGTAGGAGACTTAATCGACATTGACGCTCGTGCATGGAAATCAGATCTTATTGAAGAGGTTTTTTGGCCGGTGGACAAGGAAAGAATCATTTGGCATTTGTCGAAGACAGGTCAGTTTACAGTAAGAACATGCTATCAAGCTTAATTGTCACAACAGTCAAGAGAACGACGCAATCGTGATGCAGAAGACGGCTCATCGAGTTGAGAGACAAACATAATGTGGAAATTTACATGGAATCTGAAAGTCCCCCCGAAAATCAGAGTTTTCTTGTGGCGTGCTTGCCTGGATATTCTCCCATCAAATGCGGAATTGTTTCGTCGTAAGGTTAGCTTTTCCCCTTACTACTCTCTCTGCACAAACGAGTGCGAATCCATTATGCACGTTAGCTATCAATGTTGGTCGAAAACCTACACGCAAGTGCACGTATCGTACAAGTAATATAGTGGACAATTAAGTCCGGATATCGAACCCACAGGGAATATTTAATTATCTAATCCTAAACGCTAAATTCTACCAATTATTATCAAGCCCACCCTACACAATCGAATTTCGAGAGAATTAACTAAATTAAACTAAATTAAAAACAAGCAAAAACAAGAAAGCAATTTAAAACGAAGATTAATCAAAGTAGACAAGCCTAGGATTTTATTCTTCCCCCTATGTGATTATTACTCCCCCAATTCCTTCAATTATGCAAGCAATTAACCCAGATTATTAACCTGAGATGCTAAAATAATCATAACCCGCTTCCGCGTGTATTACAATTCTAATACTCTAGATTCAATTACTATATTCCTATGCAATTAATTCTAGAACACAGCATTAAGCACAAATCTCAATAATGGCTACCTAAGAGATTAACTATATTCCTATGTTAATACCACAAATGCTCTTCTACCACAGTTCTAATTATTAACCCGATCTTCCGATTCATGCGATTAACAATAACATAAAAGCACATAAAGTGGCCAGTTTCATGAACTTAATAAAACAAGAAGAAGAAATAATCCGGAATTAAAACTTGCATAAAATCATAGAATTGGGTTCATAAATCCCGCATAGGGTTCCAAATAAAATCCTAGAAATAAAGACTTAGGTACTCGTAATTCTTATGATAAATAAAATAAAATAAATAAATTAAATAAGAAAAACTATGCTTGAATCTTCGTTGATCTTCGTTGCTCTTGAATTTGCGTAAAAAGATGGATCCCCAATTGTTGCTTGACTTGGTCTTATATAGGGTGAAGAACTTGGGGAAGAAGGCAGTTTCCTTGTGCAATTAAAATTCCTTTACTGCGCAACTTCGGATTCTCGGACGGGGGTCCCATGATTTGCACTAAAACTGGGACGGGGGTCTCAGCATTAAATCTTCAGAATTTTGATATTTTCACTTTTGACCCATATTTTCACCAAAATTGCAGTTTTGACCCCATACTTTTCCAATTCTTCAATTTGTACCTAAAATACAATAAATCAACTTTTTAAGCACCAATTATCATTAAAACACACCAAAAGCTCAAATAAAAAGGTACGATAAAGTGTAAAAATATACACTTAACACACCCCCAAACTTGAACTTTTGCTTGTCCTCAAGCAAAATCAACCAATAAGCTATTAACTCAACGATAACATCTCATCACATAGATCAATGATCAACTTCACGTTTTCAGAACTTGTAATTATAATGACAATTCTTAGGCATTCGCAAGCTCAAAATTCAACAACACTTAGTCACTCACCATTACCAAAAACCACAATTCATACAATTGTTTCAAGCATCCAATATTTGCAAATTAAAAATAGAAAGAATTTATACTTACATGTATATGCTTGACTCCAAATACTCACCAAATTATTCTACTCTACTAATATCGAACATTAAGCTATTGGGATCATTGGGACTTTGTGGCTTTCAATTGTTAGGCTCTTTGGTTCGAGGTAGGAAATATGGGTATGTGTGGCTATTCTTCTTGAATTTAGGTGATTACGCCAAAATTTGAAAGATAGGCGTTTTAAACAATGAATTCACCTTTACGGACTTTAATAAACTCGATTCTCAAAAGTTCAAAAGTCTCCACTTTTGCTTTTGAGGCAATGGATCGAATTTTCAAAAATAATTCAATAACTAGTCCTTATTTCTCCCTTCTAGTCTCTTCTTCTTCTCTTTTTTTTTTCTTTTTTTTTTCTTTTTTTTTATTTATATAGAAGCATAGAAATTTTTCTTGTTTCTCTTTTTTTTTTTTTTTTTTTTTTCGAAGAAGAAGAAGAAGAAGGACCTTATAAAAAAATTTCACCGAACTCCAAGGGGTAATTTTCAAGAATCTCCACCTATTCTACCTTACACATTGGTTAAAAGAAAGAACACCTTTTCTCCGAGGCTCAAATCAAGGTTCTAAGGATAATTTCGATAAAAAGGTCAGCTTGAAAGGCTCAAACGGTTCAAAGAAGGCCCAAATCATGTCCCAAATCACTCACTACTCAATACTTCGTATCATAAATTTCCTAAGGTGAGTCTTAAAACCGAACATAACATGATCTAGCACAAATTAATTCCAAATTTAAAAATCAAAACATTCAACCAAAGCAATGCACAAAATGTGATTCCTAGCAATAATTCGCTTCTAAGTCCCGTTGAATAGAAAGCTAAACAAACATCAAATCCTTATCACGTAAAACAAGCAATTTCATCATCAAACATTGATCATCTCTCATCATCATAAATCATTGATGCATTCGACTCAAGCAATTTATTTATTTATTTATTTATTTATTTTTTTTTTTTTTTTTTTTTTATATATTCCGGAAAAACGAGAAAAACAATAAAAACGAATAAAACCTAATGCATGCACACTAAAGTATCCCTAAAGTATCCTTCTTTTGGTAAAATGCCAACAAAAAGTATCCTTCTTTTGGTAAAATGCCAACAAAAAGTCTTAATTATAATTGCTTCATCGTCGATCCAAAATGTATAAATAAAAAAGAAAATCTTTGTACCAACGGCATCTATACCATTGTTTTACTTTTTATACATAAATTCATAATTGAAATATAATACTTTTTAATTAATTGAATTATTAAGTATAATATGAAAAGATATTTATATAGATTTATTTAGTAGAAGAAAAAAGGCATGAACTTCTTTTCTCGCCTTAGGGCATCTTCCACCCATCTACATATCCCATTTTTTTCACCTAAATTAGGTGTTTTTAACCTCCCAACTTAAATCACTAAATCGGCATTACACTTAAAATTATGCTGATTTGGTTTTAGTCTCTCATTGTGGTCAAACCACATATCACCATATTATCAAATCCTATATTTTCACCAAATTTTTTGGTGAAGAAATTTGCAACTCCCACCCTACCACCATTTTACAATTTTTTTCACCAAATCCTATTTTTTTCTATCAAATATAGAAATTAAAATAGGATTTGGTGTAATTAACACCATTTTATAATTAGCATATAAAATTATTCTATTAACTAATTTCATATGATTACCAATTTATAAACATATTTATAGAAAATATATTAGTGTTAATTAATGAATTAGTGTTCAAAAGATAAATACATTTGTTATTATTAGTAAATATAAATATGTTAGGCCAAACAAGGTTTTAATGAGGCCTCTTTGACCTTCAAAATTAATAATGCAATAATTTCTTTTGGCAAAAAAAATGTTGTAAAGTTTTTTTTTTAAATAGCGTTGTAATATTTTTAGGCATTTAGTTATGAAATTATTGTTTATGTGTTGTTTTATTACATGTCTAATAATTTACGTTGATTTTCATTCATGTTTCAATAGTTTTTTGAAATTCCCATAATTTTAAGATTATATAATTAATAAAATTATTACTTATAATCGGATCTATAATCAATACTTTTTTAAATTAAAATAGACTAAAGTCGATTAACATTAAATTTATACTTTTATGATATATTTGGTGAAATAATATGGGAGACCAAACCAAATGTTATTCTCTATAAATAGGAAAATGGTGAAATATTATTATTTTATTATTGAGTTAATTGCATAGACCCCCCTGTGTTATTTCTCGGAAGCAAAAAACCCCCAGCAAAAAAAAATTAGCATATAACCCCCTATGTTGTGTTTTAGTCAGCCCACCGCCCCTTTGTGTGCACTAGCTCGTTGACTTACGTGAAATGACAGAATTGTCCTTAATAAAAAATAAAGCAAAAAAGACCCCAATACCCAAATTATTATTCACGCTAGTTTTTAGAAGGAAATGACATAAATACCCCTTTATAAAGAAAAAAAAATCAAACTGATTTAATTATAAATAACCTAAATTTAGAGGACCAAATTGTAATTTCCAAAGTTAATCAAATCACCATCTTCAACAACTTCATGGATTTCAAACTCATCTTCTCCTTCATCAACTCTCTCTGAATCCAGCAACTGCCCTCTCGCAATCTCCACCCGGAAGCCGCGGACGCCTCGGAAACGGCCGAACCAGACTTACAACGAGGCGGCGGCGATTCTCTCCACGGCTTACCCTAAGATTTTCCCAACCAAATCAAACCCCTGCAAATTCACCAAATCGCATGGTGGTAATGAAAAGAATCCGTTTTTATTCGAGACGTCGGACTTGCTTATGCCGTTTCGGGTTATGGACGACGGTTCGGAGTATTTGCTGCATCCGCCGCCGGCGAAGGGGTTTATTTTGGTGGAGAAGGTGTGCCGGAGTCTTGGGGAGATCAATTCGCAGGGGAATTCCACCTCTGAAATCTGCGATGATTATAGGGAAGATTTCGATGAGGAATCGATTCTGGATGAGGAAATTGGGGCGGGGATTGATAGTATAATGGGGAATTCCGGTTTGGAGGTCGCCGTTGGACTTGATTTTTTTTGATTTTTTTGAAGGGTTTTTATGTCTTTTCCTGTCCTAAAATGTCCTAAAACGCACGCCCAGCTGCATGAACCACGAGTGTATCCCACGATTCGCTCGTAGGGTCCTTATTGTCATTGACTTCCTTTCATAGGGGGGTATTTGCTAATTTTTTTATCCGAGGGTTTTTTTTGCCAATTAGACATTTCACAGGGGAGCCGAGTGCAAATACCCCTTTTATTATTTGGTATAAAATATGATGGAATTGGTGGGAGACCAAATATACTATTTGTTCACCAAAAATAGTGAAATTGAAGAATGGTGTGATAAGGGTGGGAGATAAACCTATTTTTTCACCACAAAAAATAGGATTTGGTGAAAAAATGGTGATAACGTTGGAAGATGCTCTTAGAGCATTTCCCACCCATCATCAAATCCTATAATTATCACCTAATTTAGGTGTTTTTAGTCTCCCAACCTAAATCTCTAAATCACCATTACACCTAAAATTATAGTGATTTAGTTTAGTCTCCCACCCTGGTCAAACTCTATATCACTATATCTCTAAATCTTATATTTTCACCAAATTTTTTGGTGAAGAAATTTTCATCTCCCACCCGTCCCACCATTTTACCATTTTTTCCACCAAATCCTATTTTTTCTATCAAATATAGAAGTGAAAATAGGATTTGGTGTAATTAACACCATTTTATAATTAACATATACAATTATTATATTAACTAATTTCATGTGATTACCAACTTATAAATATATTTATAATAAATATATTAGTGTTAATTAGTGAATTAGTTTTCAAAATTTAAAATATATTTATATTATTATTATTATTATTATTATTATTATTATTATTATTATTATTATTATTATTATTATTATTATTATTATTATTATTATTATTATTATTATTATTATTTAACTTTTAAATAAATATAAAAATGTTTGGCCAAAATAAATAATATTTTTAAACAATAAATACATTTATTATCATAAAACAACAAAAAGGGGTACTCTTATGTTGAAGATGATGACGATAATAATGGTGAATGATACTCATCTCCTAATAAGGGGTACTCTTTCATTGTTAGGCGAAACAAGGTTTTAACGAGGCCCCTGTTATCAATGAAATAATATTTTTGGGCAAAAAAAATGTTGTAATGTTTTTATGATTAATGTATGTTGTAAGGTTATTAGGAAATAATTGAAATTATTGTTTATTCGTGGTTTTATTATATGTATAATAATCTAAGTCGATTTTCATTCATGTTTCAATAAATTTTTGATATTTATCATAATTTCTAAATTATATACTTAATAAAACTAATCATTATTCATAATCAATATTTTAGTAATAAAATAGACTAAATTTACAATTAACATTAAAATTATAATTTTGTAATATATTTGGTGAAATACCATGGGAGACCAAACCAAATCATATTCTCTATAAATGGTAAAATGGTGAATATTAATATTTTATTATTTGGTGTAAAATTTGATGGAATTGGCCGGTGGGAGACCAAATACACTATTTTGTCACTAAAAATAGAGAAATTATAGAATGGTGTGCTGCGGGTGGGAGATAACACCATTTTTTCACCACCAAAAATAGTATTTGGTGAAAAAATGGTGTTAAGGGTGGGAGATGCTCTTAGGCTAGGACTGGCTATTAAGAACTACCTATTTTACACATACCTATATTAGCATCAAGGATATTAGAGCATCTCCGATTGATGGCTACATCGTCATTTTTTCATCTAATTTAGGTGTTTTTAGCATTCTACCCGAAATTCCTATATCACCATTACATCTAAAATTTTGGAGCTTTCGTTTTAGCCTTCGACCATGATCAACCCCATATCACCATGTACTCAAATTCTATTTTTCCACCAAATTTTTTGGTGAAAAAATTATCATTTCCACCGGTCCACAATTTTCCTATTTTTTTCCTCCAAATCCTATTTTTCCTACCAAATATAGAGGTGAAAATAGGATTTGGTGTAATTAACACCATTTTATTAAGTAGCATATAAAATGAAGATTTTAAGTAATTGCACTGGATTACCAACTTATTAGCATCTTTCTCGTAAATACATTGGTGTTAATTACTAAAGTAGTTTTTAAAAGATAAATACATTTGTTATTATTAATAAAAACATTAATTCTAATAATATAAATATGCTTATTCTTAATTACTTTGTATATTTTTTTGGGTAAATTACACCCACACCCCTGAGGTATGCTTAAATAACTTTAAGGTCCCTGTAGTATCGATAATTACACCCACCCCCTTGAAACGTAGTTATAAACTCTAATGGGATAATGCATTGGATACGTTATTACGATAGAGTTCTAACGGACTATTGGTTTCAGGAAATGGTGGAAACAACAAAGAGTTATGGGTGATTTAAGAAATATTGCGGGAGCCAGATCACCCCAAAATCCCCATAACTCTATGTTATCTCCACCACTAGCTAAAAATAATAGTCCATTAGAACCCTATCGGAATATTGCATCCAATGCATTATCCCGTTAGAGTTTCTAACTACGTTTCAGGGGATGAGTGTAATTATCGATACCATAGGGACCTTAAAATTATTTAAGTATACATCAGGGGTGTGGGTGTAATTTACCCTATTTTTTTGGTATTAATGTTGATTAGTTAATTTTTTTTACTTAACTAATACGCTAATTGCTATTAATAAATATAATAAGCGTCAATAGAATAATTAACGGAACACACTTTAATTAATGAACTACAGGACGAGATATTTAAATTGAAAACATAATTTTTAAAATTGCAACCATAATTTTTAAATTATATAGTGAACAAAAATTATTACTTAACAATGGATCTATAATTCATATTTATGAAATAAAATATAATAAAATTACGATTAATATTAGACTTATAATTTTGGGGCATATATGGTGAAATGATATGGGAGACCAGATTAAATCCCATTTTCTGTAAGTGGTGAAATGGTGAAATATTATTATTTTAATATTTGGTCTAAATTTTGGTGAAACCCACTGGTGACCAAAAACACCATTTTTTCCTCCAAAAATGGTGGAGGATAAAATGGTGTGCTACCGGTGGGAGATGAACCCATTTTTTCACCACAAAAAATGGAATTTGGTGAAAAAATGGTAAAACCGGTAGGAGATGGTCTTAGCATGTTAGCAAGATTACATTAGCTAGCTTGAAGAAAGTTTACATGCAAATATTGAAAATCAGATAACATATATCGTTGATAGAGAGTCAATCGATAAAAGTAAGCAGATTGATGCATAACATCGTTAAAAATAAAATGGGACATCATATTTAATTTCGATTTACATTGTCATGTCCGTTAAACAGTCGAACCAATTGCATAGAGTCGATCCAAAGAATTTTTTCCTTGTAACACGGTGAAACAAATGAAGGATAATGATTTTCTTTCAAATAAGAAAGCAAAACAGTAAAATACCCTTTTCTTTTGGAAATTTAGAGTTGTAAATAACTTAGAATATGAGCGAATTGGGGGTGAAATCGATGATATTTGAAACTTTAAGAGTAATTACGCAATATTTAAAAATGTCAGGGGTATGAAATAATTTTGTATATTCAAAGGGTGGTGGCCGGGTGGTGTGGAATGGGAAGTGGGGACTGCAGCATTGCTTGTTAGGGGATGCATGTGAGAAGCATGATGGCATGGAGTTGTCTATTTTTAATTTTTTTTTTCTTTTTTTTTTCTCCACAATATATGTCTATTTTATGCTTTGGACTTAATGCATTAAAAATGGTCCCACGAGATGTTACTAGAGAGAACATTAGAAATCATTTTAAAATCATTAATTTATGTCTCATTTTCTTAAGAATAAAACAATTTATCTTGGTTTTTTTCTTTTTTTGGAAACTTATCCTGATTATTTAATTATTTAGTACATTGCAAAGACTTTAAACCAATATTGTTAGAACAGACCGGCTATGGAACCGGACGACCATTTGGGTCATGGTTTTACAAGGCCGAACCGGTTCAACCGGGTTTTTATGTTTTTTTGATATATCATTATTTGTATTAATTTTAATATTTTAAAAATACTATTTTCATTATAGTTTAATCTTCCACCTATTCTTTTCACTTTTATATACCTCACACCACTTTTTAGTATATTTCTCTTGTTTATACTCTATGTTTTCTCATTCTTTATTCTTCATCCGGGAATCGGCCACCCCTATTCGATCACCCATGACCATATCCGGCAATTCTTCGACCACTCATAAGTAGATTCGGCCACCCACCACCAAGTCTGGGAAGATTCGCTCAAATTTGGTCGCAAATAACCAACTTAGTGGTAGTTTAAGACGTTTTGGCCAAAAAACGGGTTCCTTGACTGACTCGCCGGTTCCCGGATTTTACCCAGTCGAACCGGATTTTGATCATTTAATCTCGGTTTTCATTATTTCCGATTTTAGAACTCAGATCGACAGATTCATCGCCGAGTCACGGTCGAACAGGTCTGACCGATCGGTTCGATCCGGTTCTAACAACAATGCTTTGAACAACACATTGAGATATATGAAATTATGGGGTGTGTCGTATGCGATCAAAAGTGATATTCCCTCTACTTCATAATATATGTCTCGCTTGAGAATTTTTTTCTTCTTCCATATTGTATGTTACTTTAAAATTGATACTGCATTAATTATGTATTGTTCAATTATACCATTATTAACTCTCACTAACTCTCTAACATTTTTATGCATTAATTAGTAAACAATACTCCCTCTGTCCCATATTATATGTCTTTCTAGGGAGTTTTTTTTGTCCCAAATTATTTGTCATTTTAAATTTTCAATGAAGCATTAATTGCTTTATTTTCAATTTTACCCTTAAACACTCCTAATTAATTAGTTGAGAATCAATTAATGTCAAGGATATTTTTGTAATTTTATATGTTCTTTTACTATAATCTATGCACATTTATTTATTTTCTTAATATGTGCAAAACAACCCAAAACG